CCGCCCCCGCTGCGGCCCCCGCCCGGGTCCCGGCCCAATGCCATGCAGCCACCGTCCCTGGGCATCGCCGCCACGGGGCCAAGCACGCCATGGCCCGCGCAGCTGCCGGCACAGCCCCATGGGCATGGGGGGAGCGGGAAGGGGCCAGGGGCACCCAGGCGCATCGAGCGGGGAGGGGGCCGATCGCAGCCTTTCCCAGCAGCTGGGGTGGGGAGGGAAGGGGTAAAGGGAGCGCAGCAGAGCAGCGGAGAGGAGCCAGGTACCAGCCTGGCTACTGGAAACCAAGCTGGGCTGGCAGGGAAAGGGTCGGCTGTGGAGCGGGGCTTGGGGTGCCCACAGTACCCAGCCCTGCTGCACCACCAGCACCCCGAGCATCTGCAGCACCAGCACCCTTGGGTGCAGCCTGGCGCCCTGCCATCAAGGAGCTCCGCAGCAAGGTCCTCGTGTGGGGAATGGCCAGAGCCAGTGGCCCCGGGAGAGCCCCAGGCACGAAGGGCCACCTGCCGCCAGCAAAGGGCTAATTGGTGTCAAGCCAGGTGAATTTGGGACTGCCGCGAGAAAATCCAGGCCAGTGAAGGAGCCTCGAGCTAGGAGCGGAGCCGCCAGCCCACAGCCCCGCTGGCTCCTCGGTGTTGGTGGCCAACAGCCCCGGATCCCCCGCAGCCAGCCCCGAAGCAGGAGCTGTGCTGGGGTGGCCGGGGGGCAGAGGAGGGTTTGTACCCACAGCTCCGGCCCAGCCAGAGAGAGAGGCAAGAAAACGTAAAGTAACTAGATGTCACCCCGGGCTGAGTAATAATCCCCCTCTGGAAGGAAACTTAGCACACGCCAGCCTGTGCCCGCCTGCCAAGTCCTGCTGGGAGCGAGGTTTCACGGGCGGGCTAGAAACCCCAAGAAGTAGTTTGCAAGGGACCCACTGACACTACGTTGAGCATGGCAGTGGCCGGAGCTGCTCAGCCCCGACCACCACCCTGGGTGGCCCCATGCATGGGACATGGCTGGGATGCACCGACATCGCCCCGTGCCAGAGTCGCCCCGTCTGCCCCAGCCCACCCCCTTGGCGCTTTGCCCCGTAATCCATGCCAAGAGGATTGGGGCGGCTGCAGGAGCAGCACCCGGCCACGGGGTGGGGGGATGTACAGGGGCCCAGCCCCCCTTTGCAGCCCCCCCCCCGCTTGGCCAAGCTGCCACAGGATCCAGCCCCATGGCCCCTTCCTCCCGCTCCAGGCATCCTGCCCGGCACCGATGGCTCCAGAGGCCGGCAGCACTCAGGGGCTCTAGCGTCCGGGCGAGCCCCATCCGCTACCCCCATGCCTTGGCTTCCCCTGCAGCAAGGAGGGGGCTGCCCCAGTGCCCGTGGCCCGGGGAGTGGCAGCGGGAGCCATGAGGGGCGGCTGCCACCCTGCGTTACCGGAGGGCCAGGGGGAACCGGGCAGCTCCGACGGCTGCCAGCCACGCGCGCCCTGGGCACTGCACCACAATTGGATTTGCAGCTGCCCTGCCTTTTACTGCATGGAAATTGAATTGTAAAATGTCAAAGACATTTCCTAACTGCGCCATATTAGCCTGGTTTTATTAAATACTGTTATCAGAGGAGATTATTAATGCAATCAAATGCAAGGAAAAAAAAATAGAATTAACTGTCCGCTGTGCAGGAGGACGCACTGGAGGGCAGGAGGCAGCCGGCAAGGCCCTGCCTGTGAAGCCCATGTCCCCAAGGGTCTGGCTCCTTCCTCTCGCTGCCCCCACATCCCGGAGCACCGGCCAAGCAGCGATCCCACACGGCTGCTGCAGCTCTGCTCACATCCCGGGATGGGTCCCCACGGAATGGCAGCACCCCGGAGGGTGACAAGCCTAGGGGTGCTTGCTGAGTGTTGGGGTCCCTCCCCTGCTGCCTGTTCCCAGGCAGGCTGCCCACGCTGCCTGCACCATGCACGCCCCTCTGAGGAGCTGCCTGGCTCCTGTCCCGCTCTTTTCACCTGTAGTGGGCTCTGCCTGCCCCGCACGGCCAGGAGCTGGGAGCAGCCTGTGCATGGCAGCTGGACCAGGGCTAGCAGGGATAAGCACTGAAATCCGGGGCTGCTGCCAGCAACAGGCAGGGCAGGACACAGAGCCCTGTGCAGGCAGCAATGTGGGAGTGGGGGTCTTCCACCCAGGGCAGGGGCACCCTGAGAGCTGCCCACATCTTGGCACCCGTGCCCCCAGGCAGTGGGGCCACGCGGGGCTGGGCTACCCCGGCACAGCAGGGTGCAGGGGGTGCAGGGCCCCGAGCCTAGCCAGGCAGTGCGGCTCATCCAGCCCTGGGCGTCCTGGAGCGAAGTACCCAGAGTTCCAGCAGCGCACAAGGATGCGAGCCCCGACAGCAGCCTGGGGGAGCGGGACGGTACGGAGGGCCAGGCACTGGGTGGGCAGTGCAGCCTCATGGGACGCAGCCCCTGCTCCCACCCACTGCATTTGGCCCCTGCCACGCCAGGTGCTCGCCCAGCACCGTGGGGCTATATACTGGGACATCTCCTTTGCTGCACAAAGCCGCCATGCATGGAAGCGCTTTGCAAAGCCCCCCAGCCTGGCAGGAGGAGAAGTCAGGGCAGGAGGGCCCAGCCCTCGGCTCAACTCAGAGGGAAGGAGCCTGCTCACTCCAACACACCATGGCTGAGGAACCACGCGGTGCAGCACAGCCCCATCTCCCAAAGCCCTGGGTGCCCAGGACAGGGATGGTGCAGCAGGCACGGATGCTGCTGGGGACACCCTAGGGCTCCATCCCCGTCCCACGGCACCCGAGCCAGGGAGCCGAGGGGAAAACGCCAAGTCACTACAATTCTTCGAGGTAGCACCAGGGAGGAGGGGACAGGGAGGGAAACAGTTTGCTGCCAAATCCCTGCATCTGATTTGCGTAACTTTCAGACAACCTCATCAATTATGGATGCCCGGGAAGCGAGTGCGGTGCGCGCTGCGGCCGGCCCGGGCCCCACAAACTCGTACTCCACACGCTAAATCGGGCCCCACGTCGCCATAGCAACCCGTGTTAATTCACGCAGGGATTTTTAAAATCTCATTTATTAAACCCCACATGAATAGGATATTATCCAGATAACAGAGCTAAGTTACAAATCTTCCTGGTGCCGCGCAGTGCAGGGAGCACCGGAGGCACGCGTGGGACTGGCACGTGGGGACGCTGCTGGCATGGGGACAGCCCCTGCTCAGTGCTCTCCCACCCTGTGCCACGCACCGGTCCCCCAGCCCCGCTGTCGTGGCCAGAGGTGCTCGTGCAACCTGGGCGGGAGCATGGCACCCGCTGCTGCGCGCACAGCCCTGCTGCCAGGCAGGAGGGTCGGGTCCCATGGGGAAACGGCACAAGAGCAGCCTGGCACCGGCACTGGGGAGTCCGGCAGAGCTGGAGACGTGCAGCCCAGCCAGGGCATGGGGCAAGCGTCCAGGCCCGCGACAGGAATCTCCCCAGCGCCAGGCTGGCTAGGCTCAGCCTTGCTGGCTGTCGGCACAGGGAGCACTGGCGGCCCCCGCAGCCATTCAGCCATCCTGCCAAGCAGTGC